AGGCCGTCGAAGGTACGAAGACTTGGGTCTTTGGGAGTATTATTCTCAAAGGTAAGCAAAGCTTGACCGAGCTCCGTCCAGCTGACATTCTCTAGCTCACTCGGTTCACGGCCTGGGAAGAGCTTTAGGAAGAAGTCGTTTATCCAGCGCTCATCTTTCTTAGAAATGCACGAATGAAACCTGTATAACAGGTTAAATTCGGCGCTGACTTGGTTACCAACACCACGTGGTGTGCCCTCGCCGTCAAATTGCTTATCAATTTGGACACGCGGATCTAGGGTCCAGTCGCTATTGGAGTGATGCGTATTTGTAATAGCTCTTAGGTAGTCATGCAAACTTATGTTGATATACATCCCACCAGTGATCAAACGAGCCGTGTTGAAGAGATCATGGTCTTGTTTAGCAACAGCACAAGCCTTTTCTTCTGGGCTAGCGTCAGGCTGGCATTCTAGCGTGAAGCGCCCATTTTCGTTGATCTTTAGTAGAATATCTGCAACGTAATTGTGGAAGCGGCTGTAAAGGACCAGCATGACATTAACGCCCGCAGGCTGACCAAGAAGCCTCTTCTCATGGAAAGTATCGGGCTTCAGTTTACCCTCCTTCATCGTACGGATCTCTAGTTGATCCTTGAGAGAAGAGCCATAAAGGGGTGCTAGGTCAAGATACGACGAGGTATCCGATATATTCATATCCGTACGACTTGTTCGGAAGATGTCATGGATAATGATAGTTGCGTGATAATAGAACATAGCCGAGATACCAGCAGGGCTCTCTTTGAAGTGTTCATCATCGCGTGCCATCAAAAGGTCAAACAGCAGACCAGGATCAGGCCTGACGCCGGCAAGACGCTTTGTGTTTCTTACCGACTTAGCATAAGGGGCGCCTGCCCTGCCTAGGTTTGGCTGTATAGGATTATTGTAACTCCCATCAGGCGTCCGATAATGATGGAGGCCGTCAGGAGCAAGCGGGATCTGCTCACTTAGTATAACATCGCTGTCTGGTGCCTTGAACTCGATGGCATCACCTGGCTTAGGTGCTGCATTCTGCGAGCTAGATGACTTCGAAGAGCCAACAACCTTGTAGCGAACATCACCCCCGAGATAGCTCAGTGGTGGATGCTGAAGATTATCCCAAAGGGTGTCGATGAGCTTGTTGGTGAGCTGGACTCTAGCATTTGACGTAGAAGGAAGAGCAGTCAAAATGCCAATCAAGAACTCGGTGTTGCTACTACGTATTAGATATATTCGTACCAAGTTTTATAAGGCTAACAATACCCTTTCTTATCATCAAGAGGTTGTCCAACCTGTACTAACTCCTCGATGAGGTTTACAATCTCTTTGATAGTGACCTTGCCCGCAAGGCCGACAGCGTCTCTCAAGATATCTGTGGCGATCTTCGTAGGGTCAGCAAAGTAGTTTGTAGATTCTTTTTCTGCATCTCCGTAATGCTCTCCGGCCTGGTACTTTTCGTCCGAAGGCATGATCAATTCTGTATTATAGATTTCTCAGTGTGAAAAACGAAATAGAGCTTGTGGACACAATAGTTCAGACTAGGCGCTTCTCGGCACCGTCTTTCTATACCTCATATATACGAAAAGGGCCCATATTCGGTTACACCGCGCGCTCATACTTAGGAGCTTAACGGATAGGCCGCCGAGTTGCTTTTTCCTTTGTTTGCTATCCGGATAAGCATCACGATATCCGACGTCTACACTATAGACGCCACCGTCAAATGATAGTGGTGAGAGTTGCATGGCTTAGAGCGGCGCTCTAGATTAATTAATGTATGTAAGCTGCCTCCGACTACTAAAATGGGAAAGATGAGGTCCAAATACCAAACCAGATAGAACGAAGTAATCGTGTCGTAGATTATTGGTGGACGATGCCACCCACCTATTTCAGCTTACGTGTTTGACTTGCAACCATAACACATCGTTTCACTACATCTCATAAATGCATGCAGCCATGAAAATCAGCCATGTTCGGAATGATGGCTTGTTTCGACGTAGCTGACAAGACCCCTCGTTTTGCCAAGAATATCTCGGATATGTAGGCAACCGCAGCTTGTCATACACCGGCTGTAGAAGATCGAGGGATGGAGACGAAGCTGCATGAGAGTGGCGGCCTAAAAACCTGGGTATTGCTTACGAAAAGCAAACTTTCAATTGGCATATCATATCCCGAATTATATGTTGCTGCTGTACTCCGAGACGTATGATGAGGTCGTACGTCTGTAATCTGAATACTAGCTCTGATCTAGAGACATGAATATCTTGGCACGGGTAATCAATAGACGGAACGAAAGACAGAATCGGGCTCTCCAGGCCAACTATGGTCATTAAGCCACATGCCGATCGGGCGGATAACGACAATGGTAATAATTCAATGAGGGGGAAATGGGTGGCCGCATGTGAAAGACATGATAAATTGAAGCTTGAGAGCCAGTAGCGGGAAGCGAAGGGACCCTTCTTAATCCTACTAAGTTTTGACTCGAGACCTTCGAAAGGTTTTGGTGTGTATCTAGTTAAATCTTGTCATCAATATGTCTTCCCTTCAGGATCAAGGAGGTAACACACCTACCATTGATGGCTCTGAACAAGCTCGAGAGCCTAAGAAACTTATACTCTGTTTCGACGGCACCGGCAACACCTATACCGGATCCAATTCTGATACCAACGTAGTCAAGATCTTGCACAAGCTAGACCGCAATGACCCTCAGCAATACCATTATTATCAGAGTGAGTATACTTCCTCCTCTCCATATATCATCGATTCTTATTAGTAAATTAGCCGGAATCGGTACTTATGATATCAATGAGACGTCTGTCAACAAGACCTGGCTCGGTGAGCTGCGAAGCTCTATCTCGCAGACCATCGACCAAGGTATTGGTACGACGTTCGATGCCCATGTCATGGCTGGGTACAGATTCCTGATGCGATACTATGACCCTGTAAGCAATCCTTCCGAGGCTAATAGATCATTATCACTTACCTACAATACTTGAAGGGGGACAAGATCTACATGTTTGGATTTAGTCGAGGTGCCTTCACGGCCAAATTCCTAGCACGTATGGTCAATACCGTAGGATTACTCTGTAAGGGTAACGAGGAAATGGTGACCTTCGCATACCGACTCTACCAACGCTACTTAGAAGGCGAGACCGACAATTTCGACCGAGCACGCTCTAAGAAAGGCAAGAAACAGGCCGCAAAAGTCGACACAGGACTAACTGAGACACAACCCGTACTAAACGAGCAGAACGGGGAACACCACGAGGAGCAAAATGGCCATGACGAACAAAGCGGCCATGACAATCAGAATGGGAATAACGACAACGAAAACGACAACGACAAACACCACGGCCACAAGTACAAGCGGGCCAAGGACGAGATCACCGCCTTCAGTAACACATTCTGCCGGAAGGAAAAAGTCACACGCGAAAACGGGAAGGTCAAAGAACATAACATCAAGGTCTACTTCCTCGGGATCTGGGACTGCGTGAACTCAGTCGCGATACTCGAGCGCAAAGCCCCCATGCCAGTACCTGTCAAGGGCACAGCGCACTTCGTGCGGCACGCCGTGGCCGTCGACGAGCGCCGCGTCAAATTCAAAGCCGCGCTCCTAGCCCAGGACATCCGAACCTCGACGAAGGATCACGAGGACATCAAGGAGGTCTGGTTCCCGGGATGCCACGGAGATGTGGGCGGTGGTTGGCCGGCGTCGGCTGAGCACCCGCTTGATAGCGGCAAGCAGATGACCATCTGGCAGCGCGTCAAGAATTTCTGGACGACGCGCAAGTCCAAGGATCCTACTATGGACATTGGATCTGACCCCTTCCAGATGAGTGATATCCCGCTCGCTTGGATGATCCGCGAGGTGGAGCTGGTGGGCCAGATGGACCCGTCAGCGGCGGTCAAGTGGTGCAAGAATCTCAACGGATTCAAGCGACGGTATGAGAAGCGAAAGGAGCAAGCGTTGAATGGATTCATGCATGACTCCCTCTTATATGGCTATGGCTCAGGATTCGCCACCGTGCTGTTCTGGAAGTTCATGGGTAAGTCCATTTCCACCCTCCTACTCTACCAATGCTAGCCTGCTGACTTTGAATAGAATGGCTCCCAATCATCACGCGCTGGGAACTCTTCCACAGACATAACGAGTGGCGGAACATCCGCTTCCCGCTAAACGCGGGTTCCGCGCGTGACATACCGCCAGATGCCGTCCTGCACGAATCGCTGATCTGGCGACTGAGCAATAACGATTCCTACAAACCGCAGAACAATCACGGCGATCGGCTACCACCGTGCCTAAAGCATCAAGGACAAGTTGCCGACTTCGAACCTATCGTCGAGGTTCAGGGAAATTCGGAATCCGATGACCATAAGATTTACAGACTCGCGAAGCCGAATATTAGCAATGGTGCTTGAAGCTTGAGAAAATAATTGACCTTGGAAAAGTAAATGCTTTCATATGTGTGTTAGTAAGTACGTGTAGGACCTTGACGTTGGTAGTCGTGGGATCAGGAAGTAATCATTAGCTATACTGAATTTGACTGGGCTTTACTAAATAATTCTTAAACTTTACTGATTCAACATTATATTACCCATACAGCAACGTATAGGTGTGAGGATTAAAATTTGGTGTGAACGAAAGGTTGTGACTGCTACGTGGTTGTGTTTGAATAATATCTTATCGATTAAGTTAGGTAATCATAGGAATGAAAGGGGTCAATTTATAAATGACGGAACACTTACATAAAGCCGGTGATTTATAAATTTGTAAATTCTATCGTAACACAACCCAATCCAGTCTCAACGTTATATAAACAATTCCAACATCCACGAAGAAAAACTCATACTGGGTATCATTCGTAACTTCGCTATACCAAAAGACACTCCTTTATGCATGGCTATGGCTTGGTTGAAACAGACCTAAACCATCCATTTTTATGCCTTTTATAATCTCAGGCCTTCTTCCTCGCGTGAATTAAAAAAAAACATCTACTCATCCTTGACCCACCCCGGGATAACAGACTCTATGGACCGCTGGTCAATCACTTCGCTGACAGTGGGCCAACCGGCCGCCATTGCACTGCCCTTCTGCTTGGTGCCCATGATAGCGAATGCGCCTTGAGAGTGCGCTATATACCCGTGTAGAAGGTCCTGGCTTATCAACGACGCAGTGATGTTTTCGACGATGAGGTCATCTACAGCCATATTACCGGACAATAGACCTTCATCTGGCGTTAGATGCTTAGGTCCACCGGGAGGCGGCGCGATGGTAGAGTTTCCCGTACCAGTTCCCGCACTGTTGGAGACAGCTTTTAGGAGATAGCTGTTGACACTGGACTGGCGCCCCTTCGGAGCCAATTTTGCGGGGAAATATCCCTCGAGCCGCTTCTGGACATAACTCATTGTAGTATTAAAATCCGCAAGCTTTAATACGGCAGCTTTGCGCGAATCCCCTTCGGCGGGAGGTGTGTATGTCAGCAGGAATGTTCGTCGTGAGAGCGATCGCCAGAGTAGCGGCCGAATACGCCATTGGAGGGTAGTATATAAAGGAAAGCCTTTGCTCCTTAACCAGCTTTCGTGCTGTTTGATGGTGTGCTGGAAGAGTATATAGTCGCCTTTTCGAATTGCTAATGAAAACTGAGAGTAACACTGAGCCATAGGCTGAGCTTCTGGTCGCTGGAGAAGAGCCTGCGAGGGTAGGCGGCCTAAGACGAAATTCGCCGGTATCAAGTATGTGAGTATGATTCGGCGATGCTTTAGGAAGCGTGCTGGCGTTTGTGAATAGGCCTCCTGTAAGCATTGTGCTGCTCGCCAGAAGTGATTGTGGTTGAAGTGGAAGCGGCCGAGGAAATACAAAAACGTCACCCTTTGAGCGGCTGGATAGTACGAAAGCGGCGGTGATTTTGCCATAATATTAGTTAACAGCTGCGCCGCCAGGTAAGACTTGCTATTCTAAGATATCGTTAAGATTTAGTATGATATTTGCCGTAGTTAAGCGCGCTTAACGCACCATGGTTAATAGTTTCAAGGTCTTGTTAGCGAAGACGTAGATGCCAACCTTCTTGCCCGTAGGTTCTGCGAAGCGCGGACTTGACCGGTCCGTGAGACACGTCGTAAAGAACTTTTGCATGATCTCCGCTGTGATCTCGATAACCGACTTCCGTTCCTCGTCACCAGCATGGATAGCTGCCAGCTTCCTAGTGAGATCAGGTCGTTTATTTAGGGTCATCGACAAGGTCGATAGAGAGCCGCAAAGTGATATGCTCGACTGCAACATTATTGTTCCATACGTGGGATTGTTAAGCGCCGTGGCGCATGAACTACTCGTCTTAGTCGGGTGCGACGTAATATCAGAATAGTCGAGCTAACATACTTGGTCAATGCCGTGAGCAATTGATGGGCGCCCAGAAGGTCGTCAAATTCTACGTCCCTCCAGTAGATAAGATAGTCCTTTATGAAAGAGAGGAAGCCGGGCCATGTTGTTCCCTGGCCTTCTGGAACATCATCTTCTTCCGGTAGGCACTGCTCGACCAGCTTTTCGAGCGCATTGTCATCTTGATAGGTACTCTTGAGATCGGATGCGAGGTTATAGTATTCCTGCGGTAAAGGTGGCTCGACCTTCAGCCAATCGCGCAGCGCTTCTCCATTGAGACTCTTGAGAATATCGCGGACACCCGTAAGGAATTGGGCTGTCACGGCCATGGTGGAAAGTGGTGGTATAAGAATTAGGGAGGGGGTCCTCGTTCATATGGTCATCGTGTTCGAGAATTCGAAGTGGGTAAATAGTAGCTCGTAGTTCGAACGGTATCTAAAGAATTGAAGCTAACACGTATGAGACGATAATGTTTAGGTTAGAGTCTTAGTGTTGTTGAGGCTATGAACCCAAGGCTGAACTTCGAATTATGTAACGGGACGAAGCATACACGTAAAAAAATTATGGAGGCATTGTACAGAACGCGCTTAGTAGTGATGGCCAATTAAATCTTTAGGGGACCTGCAAAGACCCGCACCATCTATGTACATACGCTTCGAAGTCGCATGTGACATCATTTACACCCGAACGCGGGGTTATGTACAAAGTACATGTCCTAAATGTCGTACTCGTCCTACACACATGTGCATAATTTATAGGATCGTCAATGTAACTAATGCATGTGATAATCCTTAAATAGAACAGCGTTTGCCCTACTTGTCCAAGGATCAATAGTAGTAAAAGTTTATAGCTTCTATGTACTAGAGATTGAAATTCATTACACTCATTGGCTCATATCTCTCGTAGATATTAAGTATCAGCAGAACTATTCAAATCTAGACGACTAGCCACGTCCCAAAGATTTATACTAAATGACGGGTATATCTTCCTTATAAGTACTTACTACCACTCTATAGCACTATACGGACTCGATCCGCTGAACAACAATAGCAGTAGCCGCACCACCTCCATTGCAAATAGCGGCAACACCATACTCCCCTGGCTTAAGTTGATGTAGTAATGTCGTTAGGATTCGGGATCCTGAACTACCTAGCGCGTGACCTAGAGAGATCGCACCACCTAGAGGATTTACTCTAGCTTTCTCTAGACCGAGAATCTATTATCCTTTGTTAGAAAGTTTATAGCTTAAAGTGATATATCAGTTCTCACCTTCTCGTTAGCCTTGATAACTGCAGCGAAAGCCTCGTTAAATTCCCAGATCGCAACCTGGTCTTTTGTAATACCTGCGCGTTCTAGAGCAATAGGCACAGCTTTGGCTGGTGCGATAGGGAAGTCTACGGGATCAACCGCGGCGTCGGCAGACCCGCATATCCTTGCTAGGACTCTAGAACCAGCTCCAAACTCCTTGGCGATGTCTTTGCTTCCCAGTACTAAGGCACTAGCACCATCATTCAGCGTCGACGAGTTCGCAGCAGTGACGGTACCCGTGCCGTCGCGAATGAAAGCTGGCTTCAGCGTAGGAACCTTTTCTAACTTGATATCCAAATATCCTTCATCAGTATCGATGATGGTCTCACCCTTCCGGCCCTTTACAGTCACGGGGGCTATTTCATCCGCAAAGGCCTTGTTCTTCCACGCAGCCTGGGATCGTTGGTACGATTGGATAGCATATTGGTCTTGTGCTTCCCGGGAAATATCATACTTCTTCGCAGTCGTCTCGGCGCAGATACCCATATGAAACTGATCATATACGTCCGTCAACCCGTCCTTGATAAGGCCATCCTCCATTTTGACGTGACCAAATGGTGGTAAAGAACTGGCACGAGGGACATAATACGGAACTTGTGACATATTTTCCATACCGCCAGCTATTTGGGCTTCGCTTAGACCAAGTTGAATATTCTGGGCCGCAAAAACTACGGCCTTTAACCCTGAGGCGCAGACTTTGTTGATAGTAACGGCTTCGACGGATTTAGGAAGACCAGCAAAAATAACGGCTTGTCTGGCGGGAGCCTGTCCGATAGAACCTTGTAATACATTTCCCATATATACATCTGTAATCTTTTCGATAGGAACTTTAGACTTTTCGAGAGCTGACTTAATAGCGACGGCGCCGAGCTGTGGCGCAGAGACTGTGATAAACGAACCGTTGAACTATTTATTTGTTAGTTATCGTAGTATTAATATATGCCTTTAGGGTCTCACCTTTGCAGTAGGCGTCCTAGAGGCACTTAGAATGTATGCGTCTCGAATTTCTTGCCGACGGGCCGTCTGTACCGAGAAGTGACGCTGCGTTAATGCTCGTGTCCCCGCCCGAAGGCATGAGCTTCTAGCCGTTGATCTAAACATTCCTACTTGAAGTATCATTTTGATACTTTGGATTGAAAAAATAGTAGAAAGGTTTAGGGTATAAGTTGAAAGTAACGGAAATTAATATTATGAAAAGAAAGAACAACTAACGTCATGGCTGCAAGTTCTTGAAGATAGTTTACATCCCGGCGTTATCCATTTGAGCTTACAAGGGAGTTAGCACCTCGGCTTTCAGCGGGATGTCTCGCCTTCCGCCAATAATTGCACTTGTAAGCAACCGAGGAACCCGATCCTAGATAATCTGGGGAAACGGCCTGCTCGTTTTGTAGTACATGGTCGTCCCTGCTAACCCCCCGGTATCGCCACTGTGTACATGAGTAGGACAGTGTGATACTTATGTAGGTCTGTCTAACTAACAGATAGTAATACTGGTGAAACATTGAATTTCTCCAATCACGCTTATCTTTCCCTCTAAATACATACATAATCGGGAAGCTGCAGAATATACATATGGACACAGTATTACATAAGTAAATCACGGCCGGAAGCAGGTGTCTGCCACGTGACGCTGCCGCGCGAACGCTGCTCAATTCTTTCTTTCATGACTAGATCGGTTCAAAGTACCAATGTACCGTTCCTTATCACGTCAATCTCTCCGGGCCAATACCTCTAACTGAGACAATCGCCGCCCAAAACCCCATCATATTACCAATTAATCAACTTCATTCGCCTTATCCCACCACTATACTCTTCTCTTTTCCCCCAAGCCATTTACGAATCGCTCCTTCATCATTCAAACAAACCGACGCTTGTTTACAAAAATCTCATCTCTGGAGATTACTAGACCATCCTGCAACTAAAACCCATCCAAAACCAATCCAGGTTAGATCAAGATGTCGACTGCCGCCCGCCGTCGTTTAATGCGAGACTTCAAGGTTAGACTTATATTGCTAGCTATAATATCTAGGTAATCGCTAACAACATTTCATAGCGCATGCAGACCGACCCTCCCGCTGGTGTATCTGCTTCTCCTGTTCCCGACAATGTTATGACTTGGTAAGCATACGAATGGCTGGTCGATTCCTACGGAAATACGAAATTAACAATAACTTCGCAAAGGAACGCTGTCATCATTGGGCCTGCCGATACCCCGTTCGAAGATGGAACCTTCCGGCTTGTGATGCACTTCGAGGAGCAATACCCGAACAAACCACCCGCCGTTAAATTCATCAGCCAGATGTTCCACCCCAACGTCTATGCCACAGGCGAGCTGTGTCTAGATATCCTCCAGAATCGATGGAGCCCCACGTACGATGTTGCGGCTGTCTTGACGAGCATTCAAAGGTAGGAAAGAGTGGCTTTAATAGGACCATTGTATATTTCGAATGCTAACATCTTTGGAATTAGTCTACTTAACGACCCCAACACCGGTTCTCCTGCGAACGTGGAGGCATCCAATCTGTATAAGGACAACCGAAAGGAGTACACTAAGAGAGTTCGCGAGACGGTTGAGAAAAGCTGGGAGGATTAAGCTACCCCTCTGGATTATCAGGGCCCAATATCAACTATTGACTTAACGCAAATAGTATTCATCTCAACTAGATTCTACACGCGCTGAGTATGGGCTTCTGGCCAGAATTATTCACAAACAGGTACGATGCCCCGGAGATGAGAGTGACGAAGATTCATCCTCAAGAGGCGCAAAGGTTTGGCGTTTTGGGTGTCGAACAGGAGGGATTATCGTATTTTCCAGGTTGAGGTGCTCTAGAGAAGCCAATCCATCCTCTTTGATGCCCGGATGATTACATTATGGACCACTACTTTATATCGGTATTATTTCCTAGATCCCCGCATCAGCCTAGGCGTTCTCGTTTTCTTCTTAATAGGAATGCCAGATATGATTAGTAACGGTACGTAGTGGTTGAGTTCATAGCAGCAATACAAAGAATAGCAAACGGAACAAGAACTTGTGTGGTGTTTAACTAGTCTTTTGTGTTGATTTTTAGGAAATTATTAGCTTGCCAGATGTATGTAGGAATAACAGTACGATTAAGATGCAAATAAGCTCACACGAACTATCACATTATATTATACTAGCTGCATTTTGTCATGCATTTACCCATATTCGCCATATTTGCATCATCGTCCTAGGTCCATGGGTACATAAGGTACATGTATTTAACTTATGTACCTGTATTCGAGGTCTTGTCGGGTTCATGCTGTGACGCGTTGTTTTTTAAATAGTGGGGTGAGTTGGTAGGGTGAGATGCTATAGAAGGCAACTTTAATAAAGGACATGTATTTATGCTGTATCGGAGGCTCTTTGTCAATTTTTACATTTATAAGCAAAGCCTTATTTTAGGTATGTTGGTATTAGATATTTCGGCAGCATCGAATAAACTTTTAGGTTAATAATAATATAGCAACGTGCAAAGGTACAATAATAGTACAAGCCTAACACATACTTGCTAAAATTGTGGCGTCTCCGCTCTTCCTTGCAAGTTGTAGGTGGCAGTTCCCCTGGATTAGGTTCATTTGAACTTCAGGCACGCCGACACGCCGACAAGCCGAAACCCACTGAAATCGTTTAGAGGCCTATTTTCTCCCAATACAAACGCCGACCCCAAAAAATTGACGCGACATTCACTTTACACCACCAAGCTGGTTTTAATAACCATATTAAACACCAGCACGACATATAAGCAGGCTTTATTGTCAAACATTCAACATTCTTTGGCCTGTTCGCCGTCTTTTCGGCCGAGCTGTGTCTGTACATACAAGACTTTATTTCCTTAATATGAAATAGGCCTTTCCCCTTCATACCTTACATATCCCCTCTGCGCGTAGCCGTCCAACAAACGACAAAACTTCATCATGGCGAGCGCAAATAGTATCAAAGTTGTTGCCCGTTTTCGGCCACAGAATAAGGTCGAGTTGGCATCAGGCGGAGAGCCTATTGTTACCTTTGATGGCCCCGATACTTGTAGCCTCAATGTACGTTTTCCCCGCCGAGATCTGCAGTGTCTCCCGCTCCGTTGTCGTTTATGCTAATGTTGCTAACCGGAATATAGTCAGCTGAGGCTGCAGGTTCTTTTACCTTCGATCGCGTGTTTGGTATGCAAGGCAGACAAGTCGACATCTTCGATTACTCAATCAAGCCTACCGTCGATGATATTCTCAACGGTTACAATGGAACAGTATTTGCATACGGTCAGACAGGTGCCGGAAAGTCCTATACCATGATGGGAACGAGTATAGAAGATGACGAAGGAAAGGGTATTACGCCTCGTATCGTAGAGCAAATTTTCAGTAGCATCATGTCCAGTCCGCCCACCATCGAATATACGGTCCGAGTCAGCTATATGGAAATCTACATGGAGCGTATCCGTGATCTACTAGCACCACAGAACGATAACCTACCAGTCCACGAGGAGAAGAATAGGGGCGTGTATGTAAAGGGTCTTCTGGAGATCTACGTCTCCAGCGTAGAAGAAGTTTTCGAAGTTATGAAGAGGGGTGGAAATGCAAGAGCTGTTGCTGCCACCAACATGAACCAGGAATCTTCACGTTCGCACTCTATCTTCGTCATCACCATCTCTCAGAAAAACCTCGAAACCGGTTCCATGAAGAGCGGTCAACTGTTCTTAGTTGATTTGGCTGGCAGTGAAAAGGTCGGCAAGACCGGTGCCAGCGGTCAAACCTTGGAGGAAGCGAAAAAGATCAACAAGAGTTTGAGTGCCTTGGGTATGGTTATCAACGCTCTTACCGACGGCAAATCCTCACACGTCCCCTATCGTGACTCGAAATTAACACGAATTTTACAAGAGTCTCTTGGTGGAAACAGCAGGACAACGCTTATAATAAACTGTTCACCCAGTAGCTACAACGATGCCGAAACTCTGAGCACATTACGTTTCGGTATGAGAGCGAAATCGATCAAGAACAAAGCGAAGGTCAACGCCGAACTTAGTCCCGCGGAGCTCAAGGCTATGCTTGCTAAGGCTAAAACTAATATCACAACTTTCGAGACGTATATATCGAATTTGGAAGTGGAACTTCAGCTATGGCGTGGCGGCGAAACTGTGCCCAAGGATCGATGGGTGCCGGCAATATCGCCTGACGGCGTCGTTAGTACAAGAGCGGACTCGAGGACTCATCGGCCTTCAACGCCGTCCCGGCTGATACCAGAGAGCCGTGCCGACACACCGGGGCTGGCAGAACGCTCGGGAACACCAAGTCTCCCTCTAGATAAGGATGAGAGAGAGGAATTCCTCCGGAGAGAGAATGAGCTCCAGGATCAATTAGCCGAGAAGGAGTCAGCTGTTGCGACAGCCGAAAAGTCCCTCCTAGAGTCCAAGGAAGAGTTAACTTTCTTGAAGGAGCACGATAGCAAACTAGGAAAAGAGAATGAGAAACTAACAACTGAGGTTAACGAGGCCAAGATGCAACTCGAGCGGTTAACATTTGAAAGCAAAGAAGCTCAGATCACAATGGATGCGTTGAAGGAGGCGAATGCGGAATTGACGACAGAACTCGACGAAGTCAAACAACAGCTCCTAGATATCAAGATGAGCGCGAAGGAGACGAGCGCTGTTCTAGATGATAAGGAGAAGAAGAAAGCCGAGAAGATGGCTCAGATGATGGCAGGATTCGATCTAGGTGGAGACGTATTCAGCGCCAACGAACAGTCCATTGCCAATGCCATTCAACAAGTCGAGGCGTTATATGAGTTGAGCTCATCAGGAGACCCGATCCCACCGGATGATCTACAAGCACTAAAAGCTAAGCTGGTGGAAACCCAAGGCATCGTCCGACAAGCAGAACTATCCCTACATAGCGGTGTACCAGGTATGGCTAATGGCAAGACGATGCAACAACAAATCGCCGAGTTCGACGTTATGAAGAAGAGTTTGATGAGAGACCTACAGAACCGATGTGAGAGAGTAGTCGAGCTCGAGATTTCGCTTGATGAGACTCGAGAGCAATACAACAACGTGTTGCGGTCATCTAACAACCGCGCTCAGCAGAAGAAGATGGCGTTCCTCGAACGCAATTTGGAGCAGCTAACCCAAGTCCAACGCCAACTCGTTGAGCAAAACAGCAGCCTCAAGAAGGAGGTGGCTATCGCCGAGAGGAAGCTTATCGCGAGGAACGAGCGTATTTCTAGTTTGGAGAGCTTGTTGCAGGACAGCCAAGAAAAGCTGACCGCTGCGAACCACAGGTCTGTCATTGTTTACCCCAACTTGCCATTATCTACTAACACCAATAACAGATTCGAGTCTCAACTCACAGCTGTCAAGGAGCGTCTCGAGGCAGCCAAGGCCGGTTCAACCCGTGGCCTCAACTCTCCATCTGGCGGCGGCTTCAGCTTTGCCAATGCGGGCAGCCGTATCGCGAAGCCCCTCCGTGGTGGTGGCACCGCCGGCGACGCTCCGGCCCAGGTCCCGACTATCGCCAACCTACAAAACGAAGGCAACGCCAATAAGAGAAGCAGCTGGTTTTTCCAGAAGTAGGGGATAAATACTACGGATAAGAACAATGACTACGAGGCATGCATACGAAACTAGACTGTTCAATATTTTCGGTAATGCGCAAGGACACGCGAGGAGCTCGGTTTCATTCGACCATACAGATAGAAGGATTATACCCCCACGCCAGCCCGTGTTTTTTCTAGTCCTGTTTCTTTTACCTTACTGACATGTGGCCTTGTTCACCGTCACAGCCCTAGGGGAACTGGACCCTGCGGGTGGAATTTTCGATTCCCCACGCGGGCGTGTACGATCCCGTCTTTTTAGGGTGTATCAATTGAATTGGGGGTGGGGATTGTGCCTGCGGATGACAGGGCTCGTAGGAAAGGGGGGAAGGCAGAGAGGGAGAACGGCTCGGTTTGACGAAACTGCTTGCGACGGGTTATGAGAACAGGACCAACCACGATGCCATGTGTCTTTTTGTTATCTTTTTTTGTCATTACACAATCGCACATGTCATGTCTACATGCATACATTGGAACGGACAGGCGGGGAGTTACGCGGTCGTAGCTAGCTAAGTAGCTAGATACTTGACCTATCTAACCTAGATGTTACCTTGCCGAGACGCGTTGAGCGTTATAGGTACGTGAACCTTCGTAGAGAGGGCAGAGGAGAGATGGGGTTACATAGCAATTGAAAGACGGCGACTTAATATAAGGTGCTTGTTTACTATTCGAAGTTAAGGAGTGATTGAGGATACGAGTTGGGAGTGAAATGTAAATTTAAATCTGCTGATGCGTGGGGGATTATATATTTGAGGGGGTAGGTAAGTAAGACACCCTAGGTAGATATATGATATATCTACTTAGAAGTTCTATCGAACATACTACCGCCATTAAAAGGCTATTTCGTAATAGTTTTTATTCTATCACATTTATTTATATCTGGCAAGTTCTTTGTTCCGTTGCGTCTCAGTGGTACGGGGATATATCAGGTAGTTATGAGGAGTGTTGACTACTCTACGCTATCTCGGGTCTTAGCTGTTAGCCATCAAAAAGCATCT